GGATGTATAGATCGGTGCCCTGGCAACAGGTGCTAGAGACTTCAATCAGACAAGGTTTCGTTATAGGGATATAACGAAAGTGAATGGTGTTCATCTAACGTTTTTCTCCAGACCACACTATACACCGTAGATGCATGAGATGGAATACACATGTGTTAGTACCGAGATGCAGGTGGGATCAAGTTCTACCGAGATAGTTGCGGTGTTTTCTATCCATATGGTATGGTTAAGTGACAAGCCAGATCAGATATGAGACAGATCACACTCCGGCCGATACTTGACTGTGCGTATCACTTTGCGCTCACAGCTGGGCAGGTATATCGTTCGGGTCAACCTGTTATTGTCATCAATTGTCATCACTTACCAACCAGGCAATTCCTTCGATACACTATCCTCATTTCCACAGACGGAAGTAGCTTTTCCCATGTTACTTCTCAATTATAAAATGTATAGCATATGCGTCACTATTCATCTACCATCTCATTCCATTCGTCATGAATGCGCCTATTTCTTCATCTATTGTGATTCACCGCTCCGCGTGTTTTGATGCAATAAATATATCTATGATGCCATATACTAAAACAGAGAGGAAGTGGTCAGTATCACTGCCATCACAATGGAAGATCAGTTATCCGAAACAATTTCTGAATTTGCCTTAAAGCTGAACGGAAAATGTGCTGAAATGACAAGCTGGCAATGTGCATGTGTATCCTCACATTCCACTGAGCTCGATTTGTGCTTATTTCGTACTGGTCACATCGGAAGTTCTAAGGAACTGAAGGCGTCCTCATTATTAGCACCGTATGAATGTATGCATGTATATATATATATATATATATATGTGTGTGTGTGTGTGTATGAAAAGTATCCAATTCAAAACGAAAAACCGACTTACACTAGGAGCGGTGGGTGAAGTAGATCCAATGGACGATGTGGATGATGAGGACAGAGAACCATTTACGGTCGGTGGAACCGGTCCGAATCCGGGCGAAGTAAGACCTGAAGGAATTGCACTTTTCTCAGACTCTGCAGGATAACTGGACCCGTAAGCGGATCCGTCAGGTTCACGACGCGAATGCGAGTGATACGTGACGGGAGTGGTATCCGGGACAAATTTGGTCATCTCGTTCGAACGTGGCATATCCAAACTTGACGATCCGTTGCCCAAATAGCCTAACTGACTGGAAGATCCGTTCAGGGACGCGTAAGAACAACTGGGCTGTGTTCCGGGAACCCCGTCTCCGATATCGCTGAACAGATTCGGTGTGGATGGTCGATTGGGGAATGGGCTGGAGGCGGATCCGGTCGAGCCGGCAGATTCTCGATCGTCACATACCAAATCCAAAGGCATTTTGCCTTTCAGACAAGCGATATAACGGGCACAAAAGCTGTCACACAGTTCGTGCACCTGCATAATATGAGAAAAGATTGATGAAAGAAAACCACTCGATTTTTATCTGACAGCGGTAAATGCGGACGTAATTTTCGGTAAACAAAGATAATAAAATACTGAAAATTTATACAACAGCACTTCAACCAACCGATAATCACTGATGATAACTGTGATGTAGTGAAGTCTTATTCACACTATTGAGTAGTATTTGGCGTGTACGTGCACGAAAGGGTGGTTGATAGAGTCTGATGGAGAAGAGACTGTCTAACGGTTTGACCGTTCATGAAACCACAAACCATTTGTTTTGTTCGCTAAAATCCTGTTTAAACTCTATTCATGGTAGTAATATTATTATTATTAGTTATGCTATACTTACGATACCATATGACAAGGTATAACTGAAAAAAATCTAAAATCCAATCACGTGAACCCTGTGTGTGTGTGTGCAGCTTTTGATTTGTCTATTCATATAGTCTATCCCATCCGTTTAATTAGGGCACCATGGCATTTGCACGAGTAAGGCGGATAGACGTTTCATACTGATGAAGATCATTTGCTGAATAGCGAAGGTGAAATCGCTTTGTGTCCGACACGCATTGTCTGGTGCTTAGTGATTCTAGTGATCTAATTAATTACTCTACCCTGTTCATTGCAACACTAGACGAGTACATTTTGAAAAAATCATACACCGTCGTGTGAAGACGAACAGTAGAAGGGGTCAATCCACACTTACAAGGAACTGCTTATGCGTTGGTGCACCAAATAGGCGATAGTAAAGCTGCCTACCACCAAAGTTGGTTGGTGGCAGTGGCGGGTTTCGAGCCTAAGACCCTAAGGGGACTGGTCAAGTGCACCGATAGCAACTACCCGACCAGTTTGATCACCACCACCATCATATGTGCGAGTTATGCGAAACCTGCTACTTTTTTTATCACCAATCCTCTATTATCATACTGTGCTGGATGATGTACCGGCATTCCGTTAGTGTGCTAGACCCATATGGATGGTTAAACCTTTACTAATTAATGTCAATGGGATTGCATCACTGACAAGATTGTCCAACAATATCCCAAAAAAATTGTCTGTTTATCAGATTTTCTCTTACACCCACCTGTATTTTCCGTAAGTAGGTAAAACGGTGTTCTTTGAACCACGAATGATAGGTTTGTTCTTCAGATCATTTATTTGATAATTCCGGTAGAGGATCGAAACATTTGGGGTTGCACTGCTCAGATCTCGAATTTCGTCTTCCCTCTGGTCTGTCTTTTTACCACTTAAATCAGCCAAAGGAATTGGGTTTTTCTTTTCCTTGAACTGAGCACTTCTATTCCTCGTGTCATGTACTTTTTTTTTTGTATGTG